ATAATTCAGGATAGGCATGGTGGTTCACACCTGTAATGCCGTCTCTTTGGGGGACTGAGGCGGGAGAATCACTTGAGCTCAGGAGTTTGAGACCAGCCTGGGCAACATAACGAGACCTTGTCTCTACAAAAATAAAAACATTTTCCAGGGATGATGGCACATGCTCCACCTGTAGTCCTAGGTAGTTGGGTAGCTGAGGTGGGAGGATCACTTAAGCTCAGCAGGTTGAGGCTGCAGTGAGCTGTGATCATGCCACTGCATTCCAGCCTGGGCAATGGAGCGCGACCTTGTCTCAAAAAAAAAAAAGCAAAAAAAAAAAAAACCATCATACAGGATTTCTGTCTTAGGTTCTGTTATTAATAAAATGTAGTAATTGGGCTGGGCATGCTGGCTCAAATCCCAGCACTTTTGAAAAGGAGGCTGAGACGAGAGGCTTGCTTGAACCCAAGAGTTCGAGACCAGCCTGGGCAGCCCCCGTCTCTGCAAAAAGACATGTTTGGTGGCACGCACGTATAGTCCAGCTACTTGGGGGGCTGAGGTGGGAGGATCATTTGAGTCCAGGAGGTCAAGGCTGCAGTGAGCCGTCATCACACCATTGCGCTCCAGCCTGGACAACAGAGTAAGACTCTGTCTAAAAATAAAAACATTTTTAAAAAGTAATTGAAATAAAAATTTCACTATAATAGTGTTTGTGTCTATTACAGGCAGTTTGTGACATACTTTGTAGTAAAACTTTAGTATATAATGCTGAAAATTATGTATTTTGCCAGTGCTAATTGTTTTCTTTGTGTTTCTTGCAGAAAAAGATGGCAAAGCATTTCATTCAACTTATGAAGAAAAATTGAAGCTTGTGGCACTGCATAAGCAGGTTCTTATGGGCCCATATAATCCAGACACTTGTCCTGAGGTTGGATTCTTTGATGTGCTGGGGAATGACAGGAGGTAACAGTGTTTTTCTGTGTAGTGAATTTAATGAGAATAATGTTGGCAAAGGGTACAATGTGTATTGGTTAAGACGTGAATAGCTGGCTCATTAGCTTAAAATAAGAACTTAACATTTTTTCTTGTAGCTTCTGGAGTCTTCAGATATTTATCTGTTTTTAGTTTAGAGATGTTTATGGCTAAATATTGTGGAAGAACTGTATTCATCTGATTATTAACATAAGACAAGTAGAGGTTCATTTAGTTCTTCCCAAATAATATTAAAAGTAGCCGTTTAAAATACATAGTAATTGATTGCGTTATTGAAGCATAAAAAAATTGTGACCAAAAAAATACATTGAGTATTTTTGTTTAATTAAGGTTCAAATATTATATAAGAAAAGTAGGCCAGGTGCAGCAGTTCACGCCTGTAATCCCGGCACTTTGGGAGTCCAAGGTGGGTGGACCATTTGAGGTCAGGAGTTCAAGACCAGCCTGGCCAACATAGTAAAACCTCATCTCTACTAAAAATAAAAAAATTAGCCGGCGGTAGTAGTGCACGCCTGTAATTCCAGCTACTTGGGAGACTGAAGCAGGAGAATCGCTTGAGCCTGGGAGGCAGAGGTTTTGGTGAGCCAAGATCACACCATTGCATTCCAGTCTGGGCAACAAAGTGAGATCCTGTCTCAAAAAAAAAAATTGATACCCTTTTGCTGTGTGGGAATCATCAGCAATGCAGTTGTTTGGATTGTATGTGGCATATCTAGTAAATCAATATGTACTTGTTAAAACTTGAAGTTTTAAGCCTTTTGCTTACAGTAGAATCATTCTTCATTTTAGTTACAATTGAGAATTATTCATATTTAGTTTAAATTTAAAAGTTCTCTTTCTACTAAGAAGGGGAGGTAACTTTTCTTGTTATTCCTTACAGGAGAGAATGGGCAGCCCTGGGAAACATGTCTAAAGAGGATGCCATGGTGGAGTTTGTCAAGCTCTTAAATAGGTGTTGCCATCTCTTTTCAACGTACGTTGCGTCCCACAAAATAGAGAAGGAAGAGCAAGAAAAAAAAAGGTGAAGTTTGAGGGCATGGAATACTTTACTGCTGCACAGCCCAGTGTACTGATGCTTTTGTTTTATGGAGTGTCTGTTCTAGTTCTAGATCAGGTGTTTTGCTTTCCTTGGATCCCCATTTCTTGTGGCAATTGTTCAAACTTCCTGATTTGAGCAGGTATTTATATTATGAGTTTTGTGGGGAGGGAGAACTGCTTCCTACTGGCTGTGCCTTTAAAAGAAACCTCCCATCCATCATGGCCTTCCTTTTGTTTTATTACAGTAAGTTTCTGAATAAGCCCCACCATAAACTCAACCACTCCCTCCTCCCTATCCTCTGGTCTTACATACCCTTTGCTGCAGTCTCCCTTGAGCTTCTAGAATACTCATGCTCCATTTCATTGTTTGCAACTATGCTACCTTATATAGACATTCATGTTGGCTTTGGCGTCCAGCTGGCTTATTGATTATTTTCACGTTTTGGAGGAGGAGCTACTAAATGTGCTGTTTATGTTTATGGGATTCTCCATTGTAGTTGTGAATTAGAATTATAGTTACACCTTATTTATCTAGTAGCTATATTTTCAACAGTTTTGACTACCTAAAATTTTAAGTGATGAAAATGATGCTACAAAACCAATTTTTCTTCAGGTTATGTTATACTTTTTTTTTTTAGACGGAGTCTTGCTCCGTTGCTGTTGCTCAGGCTGGAGTGCAGTGAAATGATCCTCTGCCTCCTGGGTTCAAGCAGTTCTCCTGCCTCAGCCTCTCGAGTAGCTGGGATTACAGGTGCCTGCCACCAACCCAGCTAATTTTTGTGTTTTTAATAGAGATGAGGTTTCACTGTGTTGGCCAGGCTGGTCTCAAACTCCTGACCTCAGGTGATCCACTGCCTCAACCTCCCAAAGTGCTGGGATTACAGGCGTGAGCCACGTTGCCCAACAGATGTTATTCTTTAAAAACAATTGATTCTCTGGTTTCCTGCCTTAACCTGGATTAAAAATAACAGATTAGAAGAGAAAATAGCTTGATAATGAGGGACATAATAGAAAGCATGAAAAATAGACATGAGAATTATAAAAGCATGGCATTCAGGGGTCATATAATATGAAGGTAAACTCCATTACAATAGTATGATGTACAGTTTTTATGTTTATAGCTGTAACCCCTGAGTCATCAAGAGATGGAACGTTAGTTATGATTTATTCCTGTTTAAGATAATAGGAAATGGCTTAATTACATTTTCAGAAGATATTTATCCAAAGAAAGTTTTTTTAATCTACAAGAAAGGTTTTGGTTCTTAGGAGAATAGAATGAGATTTCTTTAACTGGAAAATTGATTTATGTCCTATAGTCCTTTGTGTAGTGATGTTGGATCAATCAGGTATCGCTATGATGTCTGTAGAATAAGTATCTATTGCTTTTTAAGTTCTTATTTTAATGATATATATGCATATTTCTCTTAAGCATTGTCAAAAGTTACTATTCAACATATAGAGCTGCATTTTCTTTTTAAAAATATACTTTTGTCATGGGATAAAGTCCATATAGAATTATTTTAAAGTGTTGAAGAGTAGATTTCACCTATCCTGAAGCTTAAGCTCTGGCTTATGAACCTTCTTGCCCTGTACCAGTTGTGACACATTAAAAGTAGGTCATGGCTGGGTGCAGTGGCTCACGCCTGTGGTGGCTCACATCTGTAATCTCAGCGCTTTGGGAGGCCAACGCGGGCAGATCACTTGAGTCCAAGAGTTCAGGACCAGCCTGGGCCACATGGCAAAACCCCATCTCTACAAAAAAAACATAAAAATTAGCCGAGTGTGGTTGCAGGTTCCTATAGTTCCAGCTACTCAGGAGGCTAAGGTGGGAGGATCGTTTGAGCCTGGGAGGCAGAGGTTGCAGTGAGCCAGGAACGTGCCTCTGCACTCCAGTCTGGGTGACAGAGTGAGACCCTGTCTCAGAAAAAAAAAAAGTAGGTCATGTTATTGCTTTATTTTGAGCCTTGGCTGTGGCGCAGGTAGTTGTTAATCACTTATAGGAGTTAGAGGGGAGAAAGGTGAGGTAGCTCAGACAGTTCTCGTGGTAGAAACAGGAAATGGTGTTTTATCTGATACTCCTTAGAAATCTTCCCTTTCATCCTGTCTGCAGCCTCCCTGGACAGCATACCACTCTCAGACCCTGAAGATGTCCCTTCCTAGCACAATAGGATCTGTTCTTTTTGGAAGGGTCTTGTGGGATGGGTGAAAGCTGGGCAAGGGCCGCACTGAGAGGTTAGCCATTCTTTTTTAAATTAAAAGCTTAAAAAAATTTTAATTTCAGAAATAATACACAAATATATTCAATATAAAGATTTTCATTTATGGCAGTATGTGAAACACAAACTGAAAAAAATCTTTTTTCCCACATTTTTTTTTTATTCCACTCTCCTTTGTGTAGATAATAACTGATAAATTTAGGGTATATCCTTCCAGATCTTTTCCTTTGTATTCACCTTTTTTTTTTTTTTCATTAAGCAAATGTATTAAATGTCTTTACATATTAGGCATGTATTTCTATCCTTTGGCTCTGCGGTGTTTCAGGGTGGATTTTTTACTTCTATACACATTTGTCGAGTGCTTGTTCTTTCTAGCACTGTGCTAAGCCCTGAGGATGTAGTGGTGTGAGATAGGCAGTCTCTTTCCCTATGAAGCATCTACTTTAATGGGTAAGGCGGATCTATTGCTAAATGTATCACACAAATTTAATTACAATGACAGCAGGTATTATGAAGGAAAAGCTTTTAGTGCTGTGAGCCTGTATTAGAGGGGATCCTTCAGGGTATGGGAATATTATAATGATTTAAGTAGTGTCTTATGATGGACACATTTCTGTTGCTGTGCAACAGGAATTATTCTTGATGTGATTTGTATATTGTGAGATTGATTCCCTATAAGTTTCTGCTAGTAAAGTGTGTGTATTTTAAATTTTGATATATATATCCACATTGTTCTCTAAAAAGGTCATGTCAGTTTTCGCTGGGAACTAAAGTTTTATATTTAAAAAGGATTCAATGTATAGTGTTCATTCTCTATCCTTTGCTTTGTAGGAAGGAGGAAGAGGAGCGAAGGCGGCGTGAAGAGGAAGAAAGAGAACGTCTACAACAGGAGGAAGAGAAACGTAGGAGAGAAGAAGAGGAAAGGCTTCGACGGGAGGAAGAAGAAAGGAGACGGATAGAAGAAGAGAGGCTTCGGTTGGAGCAGCAAAAGTAAGCTTATTATGTGGCTTATGTTTTAAAATAAGAAATGGAAAAAAAAAAAAAAGAATAAAAATAAGAAATGAGCAGGCTGGGCGTAGTGGCTCACGCCTGTAATCCTAGCACTTTGGGAGGCGGAGGCGGGCAGATCACCTGAAGTTGGGAGATGGAGACCATCCTGGCTAACACGGTGAAACCCTGTCTCCATTAAAAATACAAAAAATACAAAAAATTAGCCAGGCACGGTGGCACATGCCTGTAATCCCAGCTACTCGGGAGGCTGAGGCAGGAGAATCGCTTGAACCCAGGAGGCGGAGGTTGCAGTGAGCCAAGATCGTGCCATTGTACTCCAGCCTGGGCAACAAGAGCAAAACTACGTCTCAAAAAAAAGAAAAAAGGAATGTGTTAGAAGGTTTTGGGGTTCACTTGCAGAACCTAGAGATTGGAAGCAGGAACTGAGGTTACTTGGTTGTGCTCTCTGTTTCTTGTCTCTGCTTCTCTCAGCTTATGTCTCTGCTTCATTCTTGCTCTCTGCAAGTTGTCACTGTCTGCTTTGGCATATGCAAGTCTATCCCAGAATTTATTTGGTCCATGTTTCCATGCATCTGACAGAGACTGGCTGGAATCTGTGAGACCCAGTTGCAACTTCCCAGGACAGAGAATCTTCTTGGCCCAGTCTATGTCAGATATCCATTTATGGTCCTTAGTACAAGATTTGGTGGCTGCAACTATTGCTTACTCAGTAAGGGCTTTGAGACACAGGGACTGACGGTTCTTCAAGAGGGAACTGTGGGTACAAAGAGGCAGTGATTTAACACCCATAGAGCACTGTGGGAAGTAAGTCTGAGGTTGTAGGGGTGGCATGGCTTATAGGTTAAACCAGAGAAGTTGAGAGTCCATTGATTTCTTCTCATTATTTCTGGGTAGTTCCTCAGAAAAAGATTTAGTGCTAGCCTCAAACTCACCCAGGGCCTCATTCAACTTTGGAGAAAGACTATGAATGCAGTTCTTTTTGCGGGGAGGTTGTCCTAGGTGGATCCAGTGTTGTGCTGTATGCAGGAGTTTGTGAGGCTTTGCTTTGTTATCTATTAATAGATGGCTGTGAGGTCTCTGTTAAGTTGGTCACATAAGTGGTTGCTGGCCGTGGTGGCTCATGCCTGTAATCCCAGCACTTTGGGAGGCCGAGGTGGGCAGATCACTTGAGGTCAGGGGTTTGAAACCAGCCTGGCCAACATGGTGAAACCATCTCTACTAAAAATATAGATTAGCCAGGCATGGTGGCAGGTGCCTGTAATCCCAGCTACTTGGGAGGCTGAGGCAAGAGAATCGCTTGAACCTGGGGGGTGGAGGTTGCAGTGAGCTGAGATCACACCACTGCACTCCAGCATGGGTGACAGAGTGAAACTCCGTCTCAAGAAAAAAAAAAAAAAGACTTCCTCTCAAGCTTGGCGTTTGTTTGGTGGGGTCCCACGCAGGTTCAACAAGCGTATCGAGAAGTGTTATTTCTGTTCGGGGCCCATCTACCCTGGACACGGCATGATGTTCGTCCGCAACGATTGCAAGGTGTTCAGATTTTGCTAATCTAAATATCATAAAAACTTTAAAAAGAAGCGCAATCCTTGCAAAGTTAGGTGGACCAAAGCATTCCGGAAAGCAGCTGGCAAAGAGCTTACAGTGGATAATTCATTTGAATTTGAAAAACGTAGAAATGAACCTATCAAATACCAGCAAGAGCTATGGAATAAGACTATTGATGCAATGAAGAGAGTTGAAGAGATCAAACAGAAACGCCAAGCTAAATTTATAATGAACAGATTGAAGAAAAATAAAGAGCTACAGAAAGTTCAGGATATCAAAGAAGTCAAGCAAAACATCCATCTTATCTGAGCCCCTCTTGCAGGCAAAGGGAAGCAGTTGGAAGAGAAAATGATACAGCAGTTACAAGAGGATGTGGACATGGAAGATGCTCCTTAAAAATCTCTGTAACCATTTCTTTTGTGTACATTTGAAAATGCCCTTTGGATACTTGGAACTGCTAAATTATCTTATTTTTTACATAAGGTCACTTAAATGAAAAGCGATTAAAATACATCTTTCCTACATTGCCATCTACTTAACATCAGATATTACGGATGTTAGATTGCATCTCAGTGTTAAATCTTCACTGATAGATGTACTTAAGTAAATCATGAAAATTCTCCTTGTAACTATAGAAGTGAATTGTGGATGTAAAATGGTTATGCCATTTGGATAATGGCACTAGGCAGCATTTGTATAGTAACTAATGGCAAAAATTCATGGCTAGTGATGTATAAAATAAAATATTCTTTGCAGTAAAATATTTCCTTTATTAATGTTATAGAAGGGAGGGATACAAAAAGAAACTAACAGTTTGTATGGCAGTGTCAGATATTATTTTAATTTTATTTTTCCTGTTTTGGTTTATTTGCATCTTAGAAGAGCATAATGACATTGTTTGATGCAGCCTAAATTATGCTGGACTGTTTTGACCTGGTTTAACCCTTCTGATAGGTAGTTGTGGATGTTGGGGATGAGAACTGAATAATCTTTGCCTGGGGTGACCCTACACTATAGAATTTCCACTTTGGAGAATATTCAGTTCTAACTTGTGATTCCTGGTAGAACAAACTTTATTTTTTTAGCCCAGCAATGATCTAGAAGCAGAGGAATCCCAGCGCCTTTGAAAAGTTATTATGTGGTTGTCTTTTAAAAAGCTCCTGTTTTTGGAAAGTAGAATTTGTGGGTACAACATATGTTCATTATTTGTACATAAAATAAAACCATTTAAAAAGTAAAAAAAAGGAAAAAAAGCAGCAACAGCATGTGGTTTATCTGTAAAAGAGTATGAGTGTCTCTAAACTAAGCATGCCAAGATATTTTCAGTATTTCCTTTATTAAGACAGGCTTTAAATTAAATGCTGTGGACCCTCAATTTTTCACTGGCCTTATTTATACTTACCAGGGCCACCTGTAACATCTTCCAGCTATTCTTCAGCCTCTTAACTGTTTTTTATGTATTTAGGTAGAGAAGCCATAACCAACAGTTAAATACCTCATCTATGTCAGAAATGACAATCCATCATCTTACAGCATCATAGTTAATTAATATAGCTCTAGAGCCAAACTGCCTGGATTTGCATTAGCTAGCAGTATAGTCTTGGGCAAGTAAATGAAGTCCTGGATTTGCATCTGCTAGCAGTATAGTCTTGGGCAAGTAACTGAACCCTCTGTCATAGGGTTATTGTGAGGACTAAATGGGTTAGTATGTGTACTTTCAACCCTGCATGGCACGTAGTAAGGGCACAATAAGTGTTAGTAATTATGATGGTGGTAATGATGATGATCATATGCTTATCTTCCATCCCAAATTTTCCTGGAAAATCCTAAGTACAAAATTAGAGGCCAGGCTTATTTTCTTAAATCTTTCTTCTGGACCCAGAACACATACTAATTGGTATACATTAGTAGCTTAGTTGTTTTTAAGAGTTACAAACTATGAAAGTAAGTAATAAAGACATTTTATTTTGTCATGAACAATCTCCTATAGCCAGACTAGTATATATATTTTTAATGTTTTTAGGCAGCAGATAATGGCAGCTTTAAACTCCCAGACTGCCGTGCAGTTCCAGCAGTATGCAGCCCAACAGTATCCAGGGAACTACGAACAGCAGCAAATTCTCATCCGCCAGTTGCAGGAGCAACACTATCAGCAGTATATGCAGCAGTTGTATCAAGTCCAACTTGCACAGCAACAGGTATGATAGACAACCCTAGACTTCAGCCTTAGAGAGAGTTTTTAGTTTCACTGGAACCCAAGTTCTTTTTTAACAGTCGCAGATGAATTTTGCATTAGTTAGCCTCTAAGGTGTAAAATAACTTTTGGGTGATCTTTTAGGCAGACTTGAGAATTGCACAGGCAATTGTGAGAGAAAATACGTGTTTTCAAAGCAACTGATGATGCTATATTGTTATAAGGATATTTGGGAGTTGTATGGGTTGAGTGTCTTTACTGTGAGTCTGGCATAGACCCTAATGGTGGTTCTGGAACATGAGGACCTGAGTAAGTAGCCTTAGTTCAGAGATGTCCTTCAGGCAGTGCACTGTCAGGCTCAGACAGCCTCCAGTGGGAGGACTCCCCTGCCCTAAGACCATGGAATGGTTCTGCAGAGCTAGCTTGGGTCCATTTGACTTTGTGTTAGGCACCATAGTTAGGCAGTGCTCATGACAGCACATTACTATTCCTCCTCCAACTGCCTGCCCCCAAATATTTTGCTTCCACCTAGGAGAGGTTGCTTTAGGTGAAAGAACATGGGACTGGGAGTCTGATCACATTTGAATTCTCTTCGGGCTTTGACGTTACCTTGTTTGATCTCAGACAAGTTATGACTGCTCTGATTGTTCTGCGCTTTCTTTCAGTCCGTGACAATAGGATATAAAATCAAAGCATCTGTCCTGTTAACCTCACAGGACTATCAGAGGAGTCAAATGAGAAGAGTTACCCTGTGAACCATTTTTGTACTTGTGGAAGACACTTAATTTTACATTCATTTTTTACATCTTGTGCAGGCATAAAATACCTCCTTAGACTTAACCTAGCTTAGTTTAACTTACTTAATTTTCACTTACAAAGCAGTTACCACCTGTCAGAAAATCTGAGGGAAGAAAAGTGTTACATTATAGTTGCTCAACATTTCTTTTTTTTTTTTTTTTTTTTTTTGAGACGGAGTCTCGCTCTGTCGCCCAGGCTGGAGTGCA